ACCTTTAGTGGACTGAAGCAGATGCAAGAGCTGAGTTTTGCCCAGGGCTGCCCAGTGGGTGCTGGCACAGCTCGTGCAGCAGCCCTGCAGTGCCGTGTGTGGAAGGCAGGGTCCCCAGAGGGACGGGACACGTCCCACGCTGGGTGCCTGTGGCAGCTACAGGTAACAGCCCTCCTCCCCTTCCCTGTTCAAAAGTACATTTCACACATCTCACTAACAGATTTTATCCACACTACGCAAGAGAAGAGTTTGTTAGGAGCATGTTTCCTAACTGGGAATGCCAGTTAAGGAGACATTTATATAATACAGCATTGTTGGCTTGTGTTTTGAGTTAAGGCACTGCTGACAGGATGCTTTACGATGTTGGATGACTTTTCACCCTGCAGTATGCATTTTTGTAAAGGTGTCTAATCATCTCTGACAATACCTGTCAACAGTAGTAGTGCTCTGATATTACTGGCCCTCTTAATGGTTTATTTTCCCCAAACAGTTGCCAAGTAGTTCTCATCCTTATTGACAACAGCAGTTCATTGGACAGCCTGCTCCTTATTAACAGAGTAGGTTAGCAATTCATCAAAATGTTTGGGTAAATTTCAACAATATTGAACATTGTATGAATGATGCTGCTGGAAATTTCATTCAGAAGACCCACCTGACAGTAATCCTGATTAAATAAGTGTAACTGAAACAAAAGTTTGTGAAATAGGGTGGAAAAGCAGGTAGAAGCTGCATCTTGAGAAAGAGTGAATCCTAAACAACTGGAGGTAGATCAATTGTGCAAGTTTTTCACATGGATGCTCCAGAACTGCCTGTCTAGGCATGCAAAGTGTATTTTGTATAATTCTGCTGGCTGGCATACACAGAGAATAACAGTTTCTTTTTGCTATTAATTATCCTGCTAACATGAGTGGTTAAGGTCCTAAATTCCAATTTTGTCACTGTTTTAAATAGGGCATAAAATTTGTTCCACAGGGAACTCCCCATTTCCCCATTGTATTTTTAAATAGATGTAATAGTGTGCAAAAAAGTGTGTAACTGTACAAAATACTACAGAAGTGTGTACAGCCTTACCTTACCTCTAGCACCTGTATATGTAAGCATTATATCTATTTATCATTTATGTTTCAGTGGTACTAGAGGCCTTTATCTGTTATGTCATCATTTTTACATGAGCACTCCCTTTTCATTCTCAAGATCGCTGTTTTCTATGCATTACACAAGGTAGAATTGTGAGGCAGAATGCTAAAATAACACGTTCTTTCCTGTCTAATTATGGGACAGGGAGAGCTGGTTTTCCCTTTTTCTCTGCCACAGTCATTGTCCTGATAGTCAAAAGTAATGATGGAAGCACAGAAGGATGGCACAGTACTTCCCCATCAGTAGATTGATAATGGAATTTTAAACTTCTGATTATTTGGTATAGAGTCCTTGAATTTCTTTTTACCAGACCTGCAGTTGTTTTTATCAAATCTGTAATTATTTCTACAATTCACAAATCAGAAAATCTGTTTACTAGAACTACTAAGTAGGTTTTGAATTAAGGACTGGGAGTTCCTTACTTGCCTGGAGTGAATGTGTTAAAAGAGGCTGGAGATGTCAGCAAAACAAATCTAATTTAATGCCCTTGATCATAGTCTTATTCCTAATGCCTTTCAGAAGATATTACAAGAATGGTTTTGCTTTTGGCATGCACACAAGCTTAAATTTACAGTAATTTTTAAGAGACTATTTATGCCTGATGGCAAGGAAGCAGTCAAGAAGTGGGGTAGAAGGAAAGGAGAAGCGGAGTCACGAAGGCAGCTTGGAAAGAGCGAGACGCCAGCGGTCAGGCAGAAGCGCTGTCAGCACCCCGGTGTCTGGGTCCCCACTGAAGCAAGGGGAGGTATTCCCTGCGTCCCCTCAGGGCTCCTGCTCTCGGGGCAGTGCCTGTGGAGGAGGCAGGAGGAGCACTGAGCCTTTCTCTCCGCGCTCTTCTCCCGCAGGAGCTCCCCTGACCGGGCTGGGAGCCCCCAGGTGCTGCCTCCTGGCCACGGGCTTGGGGCCGAGTGGGACAAGTGCTGCCCTGGCAGCCCCTCCTGAGGCTCTGAGTCTTTGATTCTGCAGCATCGACAGAATCACCATCCTTCCTGAAATGCCCACACATCTGCAGGCTCCTCCTTCCATTGCTGCTCCTGACGGGGTTTAAATCTTCCCAGCTGGTGGGAAGACATCCAAAAGAAGTAACATTATGTAAAACACCAGAGTATCCTTGGGGACAAGACCCTTAAAAACACTCCAAACAAGCAAAAGCTTCAGAGTTCACATGCAGATGGTTCTGGAAGCAGTCATGCTGTTTTCATGCCACTGTTCACTTAGCTATGGAACAGGATGATGGAGACAGCCTCTGGGGTGTATGGTATTTGAAAAGTTTTGTTCTGGAATAATACACATTCAGCAGCATGTTTCACAAAAACTTACTCAGTGACAGTTATATTCCAGAAACCTCTAATAGAGCTTTTTTTTTGCTAAAATACATTTAAGATCAGTGGTATATAATAAACTAAAATATCCCTACAACCCAAAAATTCACAAAAAAAAAAAAAAACAAACCCTCATGGGAATTTTGAGTCATATTTAGTTATAACCATTATTTAAGCCCATCTGCAAAAGAATTTTGCTTATTCCAAAGTGTCTGTGACCCCTCTAGTGCATGAAGGAGGAGAGCAAATAGTTTTTCCAATTTTGGGGGCATGGATCGTGTTAGGATTTTTTGTTAGGTTAGTGTCAGCATTTCACTGAGATTAGGACTTCCACACGCCAGCGAGGATGGAGGGAGGGAGCTTTATTCACTGGAGTGCAGTGAGACAGAACACTCCATGCTTCTTGCTTCCTTCAAAGGATTCTTTCTTATAAAAAGAAGAGCTTGCCTCGCTTTATTATATTAAATTATTACCTACAGGTCATTTTGTCTGGATAATTGTGCAGCATTTATTTTCATCTCTGTCCCAACCATTAGAAATTTGATTTGTCAAAGATACTTGTAAACTACAGTAACTTTTTGACTGGGTGATCAGTGCTAAGGACCTTGAAAAATTGGCAGAAGTTTTCACCCTGCGAAAACATTAAGATAAATAAAGCAAATTGATAAATACCATTTCATAGAATATAGGCTCTAGGATTTAATGCTCTAACACATAGCAGTAACAGATCATTCCAGGTACGGAACATCATATTTCAAAAGCCATGCAGTTAATGCTGTAAAAGGAAGGATTATATGAAATGTGATTGATTCTTATACCTTTATTTCATAAAAAGTAGCTTCAGTTACCTGGGGTTCTGGAGTAAGTAAAGTAAGAGGTTACAAGAAAAAGTCAACCCTTAAGTTTCAGACAAAGAGCTTTTACTACCAGTACAGTATTACATCATCAAAATATTTCACAGACAGTCAGAAATAAGTTGTTCTTCTGTATGTCAGTGAAGCAGCAAATTGAATTCTCATAATATGTTTTGAAAATGAGTCTTGTTAGGTTTGATGAGGTGGAAAACATACTGAGATCACTGGTTTGTTCCAATACGTTCAGTACGCTTTTCTTGGATGTTTGCCATGGCTAATCTTTTTAATGGCAGTGTAGCTTGTAAATCCATTTGGTAGAGATCTGTATGCCTCCATTTCAGAGTATCACACCAAGCAGGATGGTAAATAAGTTTCTCTTCAAGCATGCAAACTCTTTTTTTACAATACCAGAAATTTTATTTTAAGACACATATCAGTCGGAAATACCTCAGTATTTCCTTTATGAATTCAGTGAGGAGCAGAATAAAATGAAAATGTTGTTTCAAATACACTCACACATACATATGTAGCTGTTTAGGGGTTTTGAGACTTCTATCAAGGGCAGACTTCAATTAATTCAGGTCCAGTATTCAAGAAGTTGAGCCTGTCACAAACCCTCTGGGTTTCTCCAAAAGCCCTTCTTATCTACTCCTACATGGCATTTTGGAAATGGTCTAAGAAAACAGTGGGCCCTCACCTTACAGTGGTGAGCCATCATCAATGCAAAGTTCTGTCATAGTAAACTGATGAGAAGATTTGGATGAGACATGAAAAATTCTGGCCTCAGCTTGTTGAGGCTGAGCCAGAGGTTGCCCTTCAGGTGCTTTCAGGTGATCTCAGCCCAAGGGCTCACAGGTGTGTTACCTCTAGTTATATTCTACAGATTAAAATAAAAACTTTCTGTTGCCCTTTAAAGCTAAGTTAGAATGCACTGGAGATGTCATAGTATGTTTATGATGGCCCCAGAGTGTAACTATCATTTAATCTGCTTCTATTCAAGATGTCTTTACAAAATAAGATACTTTGTCTTAACACAATTTCATAGGTACAGGATTTTATGTAGTCAGCATCATTTTCTTTAAACCACATTCCTCATTCCTTGGTTCTGCAGAAATCCCCTGCAAAGCCTGCTGTCTTGTCCTATCTTCCTTTCTATCACCTTTAAAGAATCCATACAGGAGAGGTTTGTGTACAGCTGCAGTGATCCCAGCACTCTGAATTCTGTTTTCTGTTACATTATTCCTGGATAACTCCCCTTGAGAGAATCCTGCAAAGAAATCACACAAGATGAATTTTTTTCCCCTAGGTTTCATTTTTCAACTTCTGCACGTAGATTTTCCATAGTCTCTTGTCTACTTTCAAGTTGTCAAACTGATTTTTGTTCTTCCACACAGATAAAGGGTTTGCTCTCTTTAAACACTCTCACATGCACGAGCACAAGGTAGGAGGTGAGAGTTTTGTGTGTCTTGTTAACTGTACAGTAGAGTTGCAGATCTGAGAAGACACATAGAGAAAGAGCACATGAAAAGAAAAGAGGGAGGAGAAAAAAAAAGATAAACATGTACAAGTGTCTGGAAGGGCTGCTCTTCAGCAGTGGAATTTTGTAAGTAGTATGGCCCTTTGAGCCAGAGGTTTCAGGCTGCTTTGCCAAGAGTCACTGATGGTTGTGGTTGGGATTTGTTTGCAGTTATCCCTACAGCGAGGACTCTAGCCAGGGAAGGCAGTACATGAACACAAGATGTCCAGCCTGGTGCGACAGAATCCTGATGTCCCACTCAGCCAAGGAGCTCATTCTGAAAGTAAGTACAGACCTGCAGCCCCCCCAGTGCCTCCACACTGCATTTACCTGCACCAAAGGCAGGTAGGGCTGAAAGATTCTGACCTTGAGTTTGCCTGTAGCAAGCACTTGCCGAGCTGGAGACAGAACACTGTGGTGGTAAATGGAGGGGTGTGCCTCCAGTGCTTTGCACCCAAGAAAAGGGGAATTTGTCCCCGTAAAGCTGCTGGCAGTGACTAAAAGACAAGTTTTCACAAGCATTTCTTTTGGTTCCTGAGCTGCCAAAGATGACTGGCTGTCTTCTGTCCTGTGCCTCTTCTGTGCAGGGATGCACAGCCTTGGGAGACTGACTGCTTGCTTTAAGGAGAGTAGCAGAAAATAAAAAGCCCCTATAAAAACATCCCCATTGGTCCCCCAGCCAAGTCCACCCTAGAGTGACATGAGCAGCAACACTGTCCCTACCAAGGGCTCTGCAGGGATGCAGACAGGAGCAGGGATGCAGACAGGAGCAGGGATGCAGACAGGAGCAGGGATGCAGACAGGAGCAGGTACAAGTGGCTGCTGGCTGAGGAGTCACGCAATTGAGAGAAAAACCTAAAGAGCAACAGCTGGAGGCACCTGAGTTACCAGTGGTAGATTTCCTAAGGTACTCTCAAGAATATATCAAGTCCTACACAGGCCAAATCTATCACTGTCCCCTGAATGAGGACAGTCTCCAGCAGGTAGGCTCCTAACTTGGTACACCAGTTAGGTGCTTAAATTTAGACATTCTGTTAGAGCTTTAGAGATAAGCTTGTACAATATTTCTAGAATATACAATTCCTCTTGGGATTTTAGTGTTTATTGATAGGGTTAGGGTTAGTTGGTGATGCTCTCTCCAAGGTTAAACGATCTAAATATGGTTCAGGAGCCTTCCAGTTTTCTGTCATTGCTCTCTCCTTCTTGTTCCACTCTGCTCTCCTCATTCTCTTGGAAGCACTGGACCAGGTCAGCTGGTTACCTGTGCCAGCTTCCACTGCCTCTGTCCCTGTGCTCCTGGCACCTGGACCCCCCATCCTGCTGACCCTGGCTGCCAGCTGTTCTAAAGGGCAAAGAACAGATCAGGAAATGGGGATGTGATCCAAGATCTCTCACACTTCTCTCTGACCTGAGCTGGCCAGCTGGCGGTGGCCATGGCTGCATAAATGGATGTGCTGCAGTGAGGTTGTCTTGCTGACCAGACTGTATGACTGACAGACTTACTGAACCCAAAATTGCCAAAAGTCATGTGTCTGCCTCTGTGCTCGTGTATAATTAATGCAGTTTAGTGGGAGTGAATTACAGAAAATAATCTTCCAAGTAAATCAATGTTCTATAGCTTCATGGCTCTTTTTTTTCCAGTTTAAATTAATTACACCCTTGAAAGTTGCTCTCCTGAAGTTTATAACCTTCTTTTTCTCTCTCATCAGGGTTATTTATCTCGTGATTAGACTGTTTGCTTTGCAGTATATAACTCACAGAAAGACTGGGAATGTATTTTCCACAGCTACTTGAATTTCAAGTCAATGCACTTCCTCACACATTTTAGTGTGTAAAAAGTGTCTGCATGACATAATGAAATTTCACCCAAAATTTTAGACAATGCATGTACTGCAGTATTCAGTAAAAAAAAAGTGAAGCCTAAGGGCAATACAGGCTTTCTAGTCAAATAGTAATGTCAAAATCAGTGTTGTTTTTCTTATACAAAAATATCATGTGAAAAAGTGAGACTTTACCTAAAATGTTACTGATAGTGCTTGGCAACCATGAAATTCCTAAAGAACAAAGGATTAAAACCATGAAAAGAATGGCCAAGGAGGGAAGATTTTTTTTTTCCAAAGCTATGAATAAGGAGATAGAAGTGTACACAAAAGCTTGAAGAGTGTAAACAGTACAGAGGGAAAGGAATTCTTTCTGATTATCTAGAGGGCTATAACTTGGATATAATGGAAGAAAATTAAACAAGGGAAAACAAAGTTAGAGCACTGATTTGTAACTGTGAGGTCAGTTACAATTTCCAGTCTCCATGTCACAGAAACCCCATCAGTTGGATCGTTCAAAGCTCACCTTTAAAAGTGCACACAGCTCTCTCTGGAGCTTTGCATTTGCAAATTGTGCTCAGGCAGTTGGGGCCATCTCCAGACACTCGCAGGCAAAGAGACAGGTGCTGCCTGGGCTTGAACTCAGTGAGTCTGTACCAGCACAGGAGTTAGTTTATCCAGCCCCTAACTGGGATTCTGGCCCATAAAACCTCACAAAAATAGTCTTTGGAAAAGAATGCTGAACTGATAGAGGAAAGGACAAAATGGCCCTACAGGTTTCTGTGGTTCTACACAAGAAGCAGTGTTGGCCTTGATTAAGAATTTACTCCACTGCAAAGACCTATCCTTTGAAACTTTAAAAGGAGTTCTGAAGAATGTAAAAGCAAATTTTAATTAACTGATTACACTGTAACAAATCCTTAAAATATAAATGTATCTGAGTTTTTAAAGAATTTTTTCAGTCATAACTATCAAATATTCTTACGCAGGTATTTATTTTGCTGTATTAATTTTTCTTATAGGCAATTAAAGTGTTTATTTTGCTGCCTAGGCAATTCTGTATTTTATTTCAAGAAAAAAATTGCAGTAATTCTGCATTTAAATCCTAGATAGAGAAAGGATAGGGTGCACAAATTGCCACTGTACAGTGTGTTCAGCTACACAGTAGGCATTACAGATTGTACTGACATGGGGCTGTAAACAGCTTTCATGCAACATCATCTATCATGCCATGGTCGGTTACCTCACCATCATGTTATTTTATGCTTCCTGAGCCCTAAACCACCAAAGGTTGCCCACTGCTCGGGAGCTGCGCTGATGCCTGATCGCATGAAGTAATGAATGCTCAGCCAAGTGTATATTGTTTCTGCTTGTGCACTGCTGTAATTTGTTTATCTGTCTAAAGATTATGCAGTTGAAAATCCACAATTTTATGCTGCCTTTGTAAATTATCAAGTCGCTTTTGATGAATGTATCCCCACTTCCGATGCTGGTGGCATTATGATCTTGAAATATTGGAAAGTGCTCATGCATACAATGCAGAAGGTTATGTTTTTATATTTTTGGCAGACAACCGTGCTGTAAAGTAAATCTGACCTTAAGCTTCCTTACTGCATTAAAGATAATTCAGTTTTAACTTTATAGTCCTAAATGCTACTGTTTATATAAAGTTATTGCCCAGTCAAACTTGACTGATTACAGATAAGAAAGTCTTGGCTGTTTCCTACAAAATAAATTAGTATCACAAACTAGTTTAAAGCACCTCTACAATTGCATTAGAGGCTGGAGAGTGTGCAGATTACAGATTTAATTAGCTAATAGAAATTGTTTAGCACAGTAAGAAATTGTTTCGTATGGTAATGTATTTGTATTTTTTACTGAAGTACTGTGCTAGAGAATCAAAATAGCTCCTCCAAATCTCCTTTATTGCAAACGGCAGAAAGATGAGTACATTTTATTATTCATTAAGATAAAAATGCTAAAGGAGTCAGTGTATAAGGGTAAAGTTCAACATGGAACAAAATGAAAGCAATTCATAATGGAGACCGGAGGAATGTCATCCGTCATTTGCTGCTTTTCTTAAAATCACTGAATGCTTTTTTTCAGATGAAGAAATTTATCTCAGAGAAATGGTTGAAGATTATACTCATAACCTGCAAATAATCATTCATCTCTCTGAACATTTAAAATCCCCTATATGGTGAAATCAAATGCTGTTAAAAGGCAACATGGATTGCATTTAATTCAAAGAACATTTATCTCATCTAATGCAATAAAAATTGTGTTGTTCTCAAAAAAAGGACTTGCCAGATGTGCTGCATTCTGCAGCAGAAGCCTGGAATGCAACAGCGAGTCACTCATTTCACTTAACGCAGCCTTAGTGAATATATCCCAAGGTCCCATCAGTAGGGAGGAGGTGCAGAGATCTCTGGGGTTCTTTATGCAGGCAAACTGCATTAATTACTGCAAGCAATACTGAGCATAAAAGTTCATTTTACACATTCTTTCTCTGGAGAAGCCAAGCAAAAGATGTGTTAATACCACCTCATTCAGAAACTGGTTTCACCTATTAGCACAATATTTCCAATGTTCCTTTCTGTGTGTGTAATCTTGAGAATTCTTGGACTGACTAGTGTTTTGTTGTGTTCTGCTTTTTTTAAACTAGTCAGAAAATGATGAGAAGATAGTAATATATGACCACATTGGGCCAAATGTCTGCATGGGGGATCACAAGGTAATTAAATTTAACATTTTAACCTTTTGTCTTCTAAGTTTTTTAGTAGGAAGGAGAATGTATGCACTAAGTTCTATTAATTGTAAGTCAGTTATATCTCTGTCCTATTTTTAAGTAACACCTTGAAAATGTTTCAAAGTCAAATTCAGTCAGTCTGTATCTCAGAGTAGCTGCTCGTAAGAAATGGAAGAACAGGATGACGGGTGCTAGAATGGAAGCAGGATACGGTGCAAGTGAAGAGGAGCAGCCATCTGTACACTTAAAACTCTTCCAGCAAAACACAAGTGATTTCATTGGGTTATCAACTAGGCTTTCAAAGCATAGCTTCAACTAGGTTGATGCATAGGTGCTTATTAGTAAAAGAACATATTGGCAGTTCCATGTTCAAACAAGTGATAAAAAGAATGTAGAAAAAGGATAAAGAATTCTATAAATAACCAGCTGTTGAAATTAATAAAATACCTGAATTCTACAATCTACTTTGCTGAAGATACCAGATGGAAACCTAAGTTAGAAATACAATAAACCAGAGTATTTGCTTTCTTTGAAAAAAGCCAATTGAGGAGTAGGAGGTAACCTCTGAAAGCCTATCTAAAAACAGCACTGAGGCTCTTGAATGATAGTTCAGAGAGGGATAGTGGGTACTTGTATGTGTGGATGCATGTGTACGTGCAAATCTGAACTCAAAAATACATACCCCCTATTTAATTCCATGGTCAGAGTTCTTGTGAGACAGAGAATTCTTTTCTAAGGAAAAATGCACTTAAGGCATTTGGTCCAGAATCGTCCAAGGTTTTAAAACAGAGCAACTTTCTATCTTATCCAGTAAACAAACAGCTCTGGGTCAGCCAGCCAGAAACAGCAGTTTTTGTTTCCTTCATCACCAAAGTGGTATGGCACCATTACAAAAGGGAGATGTGTATGGGACCTGAACCTCTTCCCACAGAAACCTGTGGAAAATTTTCCCTTAGGTTTCAGTGGGAGCAGAAATCTGTGAGGAGATGATGTTGTTCCCTTTTGCATTTTGTAATTAGATTAATTAAAAAACTTGTTGCAACATTTTGTTTCCAGTCATATGGAAGTTTTTGTTGTATTTACTATTGACTGTAAAGAAAACAAAAACAACAACCAAACGTGTATTTCAAACATGTAACTTCTATTTTTCCCTAACTTGCTGCAGCCTGTGTTCCTGTCCTTTCGAATAGCTGCTGGGGCAGGTAAACCTATTGCAAATGTGCACAAGTGTTGTGTCGTGCAGTGATGTGGTGGTAAATATCATCTTTTTTCTTTACGTTTCTATTACATTTTCTACATCATTTCCCCTGTGTTTATCTTTCTTTTTAAAAAAATGCCAATTCTGCAACAGGAAAAAGATGCCTACGTAGTGAGAAGATTTTCCGTGAAACCACACTATAGCCAGGAGGGAAGGCAGCACACTGAAATCTGTAATCCCAACAGCTGTATTGATAAATCCAGTCCTGAGTGCCACATTTTAGACTGCTGATCGTACACTATGCTTCAGCATCTGGACTCTGTTCAAGAAAAGCCTCACATACCTCACTGTCTTGTATGTTCATGTGACATCAAGTAGAAATGTGGAATTATTTTTTATATATATGTCACAGTTCTGTTGCCAAAACTCTAAATAGACAGCAGAGATGTTATGTATTCTAGATTTCACAACTTTCAACTTTTAATAAGTGTTTGTCAATGTGGAAAAGCTATTTCAGCATATTATAAAACTTTTAAAGGTATCATACCCATTATATATCTTTACCACTTTGGGATTTTGTACATTGGATTGTATAGATAGAGATATTGATGGTTTTAAATGGTATTTTCTTTTTTGACCAAGGCTTATGGTTTGTGTTTTAGTTTTAGTATTTTGGTTTTCATTTTTTAATTTTTTTTTCTCATTTTATTTACTATACTGCCATGTTACATGGTTTTTGAATCACACAGCAGCTGCTTTCTATACATACATATATATGTGTGTGTATATATATGTATGTATGTGTATATATACACAGATATATAAATAATTTATAAACCTGACCAAAACTTATGCTAAATATACTTTCCAATATGAATGCTTGAGAGTGCCATATCAGCAGTAAGTATTGGAGTCTTAGCAGGTTTAGTTAAGTGTACATCAACAACCAACATTTATATAATAAATAATATATAGCAGTGCCATCCTGGATACAGATATATAGCATACTATATAGCACATATATTAGCAGATTCACTTTGTTACTCCTATAACCTCTTCTTTCTATGTAATATTAAGGATTGAATGTGAAGTTCTTAGCTAGGTTTGGGTGTAACTTTACAGAATTTTGTAAACTGTTTTTGTCTGTCTTTTGTTACTGTTTTATGGTGCCATATTCTATATTGAAACAATAACAACACGGGAGAAGAAAATAATAGTCTGCTTCAAGTAGCAACTGTATTGGACACAGACTGTATTTATACAGTATTAAAGAAAAAAAAACAAAACCAACCATCAAGCCAACTGTAAATTTTCCTGGTTAGTAGCCCAGTGCAGCCTACAATATAGTCTTGTTACAGACATTTTCCTCCCACCACTAAATACAACATTAAAAGGTGATTAGGGAGTCTGTTGATGAAACACAAATGTATGTTTTATTGATTTAATTTAGAACACTACAGAGTTCATGGACTGCGCAATGGCATTAAATTGATGCTTAATTTTGGTATAAATCACTACCATTGGAAATGATTTGATGTCCGCTTGCAGAGTTTTCTCAACAGTACAACCCAGTTTATAGCAAATATTGTTGCCCAAAGGGTGTCTGCAGCTCTGTATTGTTACTGTGCCATGTTGCATTATAACCACACAGTAATTCTATTTAAGCGAACTCAACTCATGATAACTCTGAAGGCCTTTAGAAATGAGTACTCTGGTTCTCAAGCAATAAAACTAATCATGGTGAACATGGCTGTGTCTGCCCCTTTAATTTGGTGATTACAGAGAAATTATTAAATTGTCACATTTCTTATTGAGATACTGCCAGATAATAAGGGTATTTTTCAAATTAAAATCTCTGTGATGGGATGAGGTTCTGGTGTTAATCAAAACACAGTAAAAACCGAGTAAAAGGCACTGAGGGGCTGGTATGGGAGCGCTGATGAGAGGAAGGTGATGCAGCTTACAAGCTGTTCACAAGATGCTAGTCCTCAGCAGGTCAGTAAATGTGCCACCATAAACTCCATGGTGATTATCACAAGTTCCAGAAGAAAACTCTCTAGCCTTTTCCAGCAGGGACCGAAGCCCCGAGTAGAGATGAGCTCGCTGTAGCCTCCAGCCGCGGCCCGAGCCTCCCCGGGGCTGCCGGGGTGAGCTGCTGAGAACGCCCCGAATCGAACGCTCGGAAATTCATGAAACGTAACTTTGGCATTTTAACAGCCCCGGAGGCGAATCCGGGGGCGCGGGTGAGCCGGGCCCGAGCGATCGCAGCGGACACCCCGGGACAGCCCCGGGACAGCCCGGCACAGCCCCGGGACAGCCCCGGGACACCCCGGCACAGCCCCGGGACAGCCCCGGCACAGCCCGGCACAGCCCCGGCACAGCCCCGGCACAGCCCCGGCACAGCCCCGGCACAGCCCGGGACAGCCCGGGACAGCCCCGGCACAGCCCCGGCACAGCCCGGGACAGCCCCGGGCTCTGGCCCAGGACGGCTCCGGGCTCCGGGCTGGCAATCCTGAGCTGCCTCCGAACCCGCTTCTCCCGGAACGCCCCCGGCCAGCTCACTT